AATTGGTACCAAGAGGCCCAAAGAGTGCCAAGAAAATATTCCCCACACCATGACGCCACCACCACCAGCCTGAACCGTTGATACAAGGCAGGATGGATCCATGCTTTCATGTTGTAGATGCCAAATTCTGACCCTACCATCCAAATGTCGCAGCAGAAATCAAGACTCATCAGACCAGGCAACGTTTTTCCAATCTTCTATTGTCCAATTTCGATGAGCTTGTGCAAATTGTAGCCTTAGTTTCCTGTTCTTAGCTGAAAGGAGTGGCACCCGGTGTGGTCTTCTGCTGCTGTAGCCCATCTGCCTCAAAGTTCGACGTACTGTGTGTTCAGAGATGCTCTTCTGTCCACCTTGGTTGTAACGGGTGGTTATTTGAGTCACTGTTGCCCTTCTATCAGCTCGAACCAGTCTGGCCATTCTCCTCTGACCTCTGGCATCAACAAGGCATTTCCGCCCACAGAACTGCCGCTCACTGGATGTTTTTTCTTTTTCGGACCATTCTCTGTAAACCCTAGAGATGGTTGTGCGTGAAAATCCCAGTAGATCAGCAGTTTCTGAAATACTCAGACCAGCCCTTCTGGCAACAACAATCATGCCACGTTCAAAGTCACTCAGATCCCCTTTCAACCCCATACTGATGCTCGTGTTAACGTGCAGTTGGACAGGTGTACCTAATAAAGTGGCCGGTGAATGTATATATATAGATATATATATATATAAATATTTTTTTATTTTTATTAATGAAACTAGCTTAAACTAGATGCCTGTAGCCAAAACTGCAACAGGAACAAAAAGGGTGCAATCTCGATCCCTTTGGAATGTCTTCTAAAGCAACCACTGAGTTATAAGTTTAGCAAAAAATAATGATTATAGATTCTTCTCACTCTTTAAAACTCTTCAGGTAAATAGAAAAATGAAAATTGTTAGTAAAAGCAAGATTACAGACTAGTTGTAGAATGGGTAATGAGATGGCATACACCAGTGAATCCTTAAATGACTAAAAGAGGATTCTTTCTTAAAAAGTGTTTTAAATCTCTTAGAACCATTTATTGTGCATTTCTAGCCTCTTCAGCAAAATATGTTATTCTGTCCTTAGACTGCCATGTTGGGTGAAAAAATGCATCCATATTTAATTTTGCTATTTGAACAACACACAAACTACACCACAGTACATTTAAGATTTTAATATACAGCTTTCAAGATAAAGTTCTTTGATAAACAAAGGAACAATTTTTGGCTATATAAAAAGCTATTTAGAAACAAGTGACTAGACTTGGAGACTACAGTGGTTGTGTGCTTATGTTTTTTAGGTATCAAACACAGACACATTTAGCTCAGAGTGAAGAGGGTACTCACAAGATTCAGAGAAAAAATCTCACTGATTAACAAGGTTCACTTCATCAATAATTTCAACCACATTACTACACACTGAGCCATTTATGAGATATACTTCCAGAAATAAGTAAAATAATAACAATCAGGTTCAGAAGCCAGTTTAATTTTGATCCCATCCGTAAGCACTAATCGAATTATGAACAAGTTTAAACAAAAAAGCAACAAAGAAGGCTGCATTAACGTCACGCAGGAAGTTTAAGTCCAAAATAGTGCATTCTGTCTCACTTTGATAATAACAAATTGATTTATACACCAGGCTTCAGTAGTGGCACTTTTAGTGATTGTAACAAAGAGATTCTGCACATATTAGAGAGCGTTGTGTTGCAGGGCTGCTCATACCTGCCCACTTAGGAAATTAACTTGATGGAGTGCAGCCAGTGCCAACCCGAGGGTACATCCATGTAAGAGGCTATAAGTTTATTATAGGAATTTATATGGACCAGACGCTGGCAGAAGATTCATTTAATAATTTATTTTATAGGATTAATCGTCATCTTAAACTGATGGGGCTAAAATTAAAGTGGCTTCTGATCTGAGACCCCCAGAGAAAGAGTGCTACAACCACAAAAGACAGAGGAAAGGTGTTTGGCAGTGCAGAATCATATGCAAAAAGGTCTTTGAAATATACAGCATACTGATGAATATCAAACCTGGGTCACCACGGAGTTCAAGAACATCAAAATGTGTGTATTTTGGACACTGTAAGGAGTTTGTTCAGAGCATTTCCTGAAATGCAACACATGCCACGTTTTTACAATATAGCCTTAAAAATGTCCTTTTTTGGGTTCTAACAAACTAGTGATCATACCCTCATGCTGACCCAGGAATGATTAGTTTGATATCAGAAAAAAGACTTGCAGTACAAGACACTTGTTAAATGCCCTGTGAAAAACTCTTCATTAGTTTCTCTTAAAGCTCAAGTAATAAAGAACATGGATCTTAGTTTAGTGAATAAAAATTTAAGCTTGTGTGTTTCTCCAATTGTCTGATCCAATGTGTACGTCAAACAAGTGTCGCAAGCAGAATATGCTGTGTTGAGCTCACCATTAAAATAAACAAACTATGGTTTTCATTTTTGTCTATGATTTCAGGTGATTTCTCACTGGCCAACCATGTGTGTTCTGCTCATTTTGCTGCATGTCTGGACTGATTTAAAAAAAATGGGTCTTAGCTCGCAGTAAATAATTGGCAGTATCCTTAGCGACCCAAACAGAGAAACCATGACTCGACTGAAATAGTGGAGTTATACTGTAGGCATGATCAATTGGATATTCAGAATTTGATTTGACTTATTAAATTGTAATGTAAAGAACCTAGATTATCCATCTTTAGAAATCACATTTCTTAACTTGAATATCCTTATTTTCCTACTGGAATTTCTGTAGCAAAAATTTTATATTGCATCTACTCCATGTGTTCAGTGTCCTTGGACAGAGACAGGAAGCTATAGATTAACTTTGGAGGGAATCTTGGAACTTAACTTGAAAAAATATTTGCAGCTTGCTTACTTGTGGTTTTAAGTAGAACATGCTAAATTGTTGTTCACAGCGCATTTATCATAAGAGCACCAAAGAAATTGTACAGCATATATACAACCCCCAAAGTGTAAGGCATAACACAATACAAGAGTACACGGCAGAGTCCCAAGTCAATCACTTTCATTTGTATGCTATAACGAACTACTCCGTGTTCAACACACTTCATTGCATTTTAGATCAACACCATTTGGCATGATTAAAATCATATTAAATGTCTGTTTAAAAATCATTTAAATCCCTTCAAGCTTCATGTCTGTCTGTCTTTGCATTCTGAGACCAGCTCCAGTTTCCTCTGGGTCGACCAGATATTTTTGTAAAACTCTGTCTTATCTGTGTATATCCAAATTCTTGAATACAGATATATGGTCTCTTCTTTCTAAAAACGAGAAAAACCCACTGAGGTGGCCTGTACTGTTTTAATTATTGTAAGCCTTTTTCCCTTATGTGCACCATAATATTTAAGGAACTGTACAATTGTACTGATTCAGTCTGTAAACAGTTGTGTACTTGTATTGGCAGTGTAGGCCTTTTTATTAGGATGCTGTATTTGAGTTTTTGTACAAAATGCACACAAGTTATCCTTTTTCTATAAATGCTGACACAACTTTAAGGTGATTAGGATTCATTATTTCGCCCCTAGGCTGAATGTTTCAGGGTTTCTTTGTATAGATATGTTACTGATTGTTTTTGCAAGCTGACACATTTTCAGAAACAGAAACTTTTTTTTTTAAATAGTAATTTTTTAAAACTTTTGACTCGTCATTCTTAACCCCTTTCAATTGTATAGCTGGTAAAAACTTGCAGATATCTGCTTTTTGCACACTGAACTTTACCAGATTATAATTGAGCTGTAAGATTGAAAAGAAAAGAAACATCAAGAACCAAATCTGAGTAAAATTACTGAAAGCATTTTTAGGAAGGTCATGGTTTAGGTGAGTGCAAAATGCAGGATGGTCCAAAATGGGGATGATCTCTGCTAGATGAGAAAGATGCTGTGAATAGTGGCATTGTTTGTTGAAAGATCCAGCAATCATGGCCCAAACAAGGAGCTCAGACAAGATGGATGCACATGCAGCATCTCACACAAGCTTAATGTCACTGCTCAATCTGAAACTCCCCAGATAATCATTAAGCCTACTCAAACGAGGAGTGTAGAAAGTATCTTCAATAGAATTTCCTCTCGGTTACCATTTATATTAGTGCTGCATTCAGTGTCAATAACGGCCTTCATCTGGGTTGAGCCACTGCCTGCTGGATACTTTGGCTTAGTAATGGTTAAGCTGTTTTGGTAATATAACTGGACTCATAGGTCCTTAGCACCTTAGGACAATTTAAGAATTTAAAATTACTCTCTGTGTCCAACATCAGGAGGTGATGAAGCAAGATGCTTTGTTTGTACACTGAAATAACCCTGTTATATTCAAACAAAGCCCTTTTGCCTTTACTTTTATGGAGCCATGTTATAACATTGTAAATTGATGTCTGAGAATGATACTTAAGCTGGATTTATGTGCAGATTTGACCTCTTAAAGTAATGTCCTTAATGACTAAATGCAGGTTTCAATTAATCAATACTCTTATTTTGTTCTCATGATCTTGTTTGGTCTTGGATTTAAAACTTCTACTTGCTCGAACTTTACTACATGTAATTTCTTGTACCTTTTCTCAGTATTAAGATCAAGAGTGAATGGTGTTCCACATATGCATTTTCAAAAAGGGAGAGGCGAGAGAAGACATAAAACACAATAAAGGTAAATTATGAAAAAACAATTAAAAAGATCTGTTGGAAAATGTCTTTGTAACCTTCTGTTCCAAAAAAAGAGAAATGCTGTTAAGAATTTTTACATTTTTTCCAGGGGTTACAGTAAATTTGTGGTCTTAAAGGGTTTTTAAACAAATGTTTGACAAACTGTGAATCAGAAAGGCTAGGGGTAGCTCCTTACGCTTGGTCTGGGGAGCCAAAGTCTTCTCCTCAAGAGCTACCATCCTACAACTGTTCATCCCTTCTCTAATAGACCAGAATCAAATGAGTGGTTCCTCACCATGCAGGGCTCAATAACATGCTTTTAGCTTTAGCTTCTGCTGTGTTGGTGAAGAGAGGCATCTACAAGTTGGAGGATGATGGCTCTCAAGAACTGGACATGAGAAAATTTGCTCTAAGGCCTATATGCCCCACAGGCGGGAACTCTTGTTTAGAGGATTTTTTCAGGGGGTGGTAGAAGTTTTTGGATGCTGAAAATGTGTCATTTTGTCTAAAAGGCGCCCATAACAGAGTTTGAAAAATTGTTTTTGTTAGCTGTTCTTGGAGAATTGGGGTCAGAGTTTTGGGTTAAAAATTGCATGGCCGTTGGCTCAAGATGAATTTTATTTTTGGTGTCCAACCTCATTTCAACACTCACTTACAAAACGTGATGAGACTAGATAAGGCAAATCTCTCTTAGCCAACCAAAGCAACGCAAGCCAAAAACAGGCCAGTAAAATTGCCCTCCCTGATCTGAGTTGTCAGCTTAGCAGTTGGAGCCAGCAGGGGTGTAGTTACTCAGTTCCCTGCGGATAGTGCTGAACGGCGACAGCTCCAGTTCAGTGGTGCACTCGTGCTCGTTATCATCACTGCCAGTGGCCGAGGAGGGTACGTGGTTACAGCAGCAGCAACAGCAGCAGTCCAGGAACGCCCGGCCTAATGGACGACACAGCAGAAGAAGCAGCGCCGGTGTCACAGCGGCCCGACAAAACAGCAGCAACTGAGAGAGAAGATGCAGGATGGACATGGTGTGCTCAGGAACACCTGCCGCCATGTATGCAGACACTATGTTGCATATGTTCTCAGGCACCACACAAGCGCCATATACGATTGCCAGAGCCACAACAGTGCAGTTCATCTGGCTCTCCAGCCTGATCTGCTTCTTATTACTGCGAACGCTGGCCTGCTCAGCGTGCCGGATCTTGCGTGCCGTGACAAGCGAGCAACCGATGGTGAAGAGGGTCGGGAGGCAAAAGTAGCAACCAAAACACCACCACAGCCGAGCACCCTCATAGGTCAGGCCAAGCACATAGAGCATATCAGGAAGAGATGTGGATATCCTGATAATGCAGCGCTCAACTGGGGGCTCATCCGGGAGTCCTGTGTCCTCCACCACGAGCTGTCGAATCAGGAGCTCTGGGAGGGCCAAGAGGAGGGCGCCGATCCAGATGACTGCCAGCTTGGCCGTTGTAGACGTGCAGTTCTCGATCATCTCGTAATACATCTGGACATTGGTGGCCGCACGAAAGCGGTCGATGCAGAGTGCACACAGGGTGAAGGTAGTAACGCCCAACGAGGCAACCTAAACAGAACAAAAATAAGGTTCAGCTTGAGAAACTGTTGTTATTGTTAGAATTATGTATGAAAAACATGCAATTCCAGAGAAATGTTTTTTTTTGCTGTTGTTGTAAATCCACAATTTAGCAACAAGTTCAAGTGGTGTACCTATTTTAGCAAAACCCTTAACACAATACAAATAATTTATTTCCTGATAGAAATGTCTCCTATAAAATACTCCTTTACTATTTAGCAGCAGCACATAAACTAATGACATTAAGCCTAAAGCAGCATCAGATGCTGCAGTATTTAGAAGCAACAGACCTTGAGAAATGCAGGTCTGGGCACTGCTCTATTTTAAACATTATAGTTGTTTTAAGCTAAAGGGAGAAAATGAAATAGAGCATATGATCAAGTCTTGATGGTTAAAACAATTGGATTGATTGTGAGAGATTATTGAAATGATAGCCAGCTATTTTAGTGATTAACTAGACAATAAAACATGCCCTTGACATGCCCTGACAGAGCAATTGACTTATAGAAGTAATTATACAAAAAAGAATAAAAAGATATACACAATTTTGAATTTGAAATACAAAAAAAATAAATTTTTTCTGTCAATATGCTCCATAGAGAACTCCTTAAGTGGAAAAGTTTTCATTTCAACTGGTTTAAATTCTGTAAAAAGCTCAATCAAAACAATTGACAGATTAATCGATTAGCAAAATAATCATTATAGCAACCATAATCATAACCCCAAACCTTTTGAGAAGGCAAGTTTCCTCACCAGCAGCTGGATAACTTATTTTCAGTTTAAGTGAATTTATATTTATGCTAAGAAACAAAACATTATCTTTCAGCCAAAAAACTCAGACGAAGCATCCTTTATTCACTGGCTCTCATGTCTTTTTGTTTTCCTCTGCTTACTATCTCCTAAACCTCTCTTCCTTTTTACAGAACCCTCCTTCCATCCTGCTCTTCATATCACATTTAATTACGGCAGCCAGATTCCCAGATGGCCCCAGTGAGCCAAGGCTTTGGTGATGTAAACACATCCATCCTGGACAGATATAGATGTACATGCTCTGCACGATGTTCAGTGTAAGTAGGCCTCCCTCACACATCATGAGACACACACACTGACACGGAGGTCCTAACCAGGCTAATGAAGGGTAACCATATGGAACTCTGAGGAGTAAGTGGGGGGAAAAAAACTGATGGGCTACAGAGTCATCAACCAGAACTGTGATCAACGTGGCTCCTTAACCAGAGACTGTAGTTACCTGTCAGACCATCTTGAGGCTCTTAAACAAGAAAAATGAATGGATAATGTTAATTTGTTTGGCTACGTCTTTGAAAAGCAAATTTTTTTAAAGGTTATCAAAGACCTGTAATTGGCATCAAGGTATATATTGCTTCATCAAACCCCTGAAGAAGAATGGGATTGGCTTTTCTAAGTTGAGTTCTTATCTATTTGCTTCCCCATTTTCTTGTGGGCCATAATGGATAGACGATGAACTAAACACTGGGTATCAGATGTGGTGTCCAGGTTTAATTAATAGGGAAGTTAATTTCCTATATTGGCTTGTATGTTTTGTTTTTTTCAACAATTCCTTTATTGATAAAGGTTGATACCTTTAGATGAAGTGTCTCATTTGTAAAAGAGACATATTCAAACACAGAATGCTACTTGATGTTGGACAACTGGTAATTGGTTGGAGCTTTTTGCTTCCTAGATGTCAGGAATTTCAATTTCTCAAAAGCCATTTTAGACCCCGCAAAGATATGAATGAGGCACCAGACAGGCTTTGCTGTTGTAGCTTACATTTATTCAGCTTAAGTTGCTCACATATATGAAACCCAATAATCTTGGTACCTGTCTGGTACTGACAAACCCATATTTTGCCCACTCTGAAATAACCATTTCAGTCGAGTTTGAAACTCATGTCCATAGATTAAAGGCTTCTAATTTATATAATGCTAGAAATCAGAGCTGGCAAAAGTATTTGCATTTTTTTCCTCTGGACTAAAAGTGCAGATGCCAATGTAAAAATGGACTAGATGGTAAGATAAAAAGTACTGGTTGAACTTAAAAAAGCTTCTATATTACACTCTAAAAAATCTAAAAATAAAATGATGCAAAAATAACTTGAATACTAAACCCTTGTAAAAGCATTTCTATACACATAAAATAGGTTAAGCTTCTTCTTTTGCTCCCTGTGTTGGTAGAAGAAAAAAACAATTCTGGCTTGTCTAGTTTTGGTCTTAATTCCAGACAGAATAATTTACTGAGGCCAAAATACATTCTAGAGCTCTGGTATTCACATTACTAAAGTTACAAATGGTACTGACATTGGAATGCAATTTGAAAAATAAAAATATAGATACGCAAACTGATAAAGGGGGGCAGATGGGGAATATCTTGTCTCAAAATCTGACCGTTCAAACGCAATGTTTTCCAGAACTCAGTCTTCATCTGTGTTGCAATCAATGTTTCTTCTGTAGAAAAAACAAAACAATAAAAAACTGGGCTCCAACTGAAGAAATTCTCTTCAAACTCTTGATTTCTCTTGTTTTGTTGCAGCTGTCATGTCATTATGCATAAAATTAACAAGACTGTTTGGTAGAAAATGAAGAGTACAAAGTAAAGATTCTTGTGCTTAAACGTAGCGAGTAAGTAAAAAGTCCTTAGAAAATTGAACACTAAAGCACAAATGACAAAAAAGCCCTTTAAGCACACTAGGTATTTATACTTGCTTGACAAATCTAGTTAAAAGGATCTTTTCATCCCTTGAAAAGGGCTTAGGTTTGACATATTGGCCTCATTTCATGCATGGCGGTATTCCACTTAAAGCAACCTATCCTGCCAGGTAATCTGTTTTGAGTTATTTTTATTTTTTTTAAGCCTAAGGTCCTTGATTGAATGACAATGTAATACCCAAGATGCACTCATATTAGTGGTGAAGTCCTCTACAAACTACAATTCTTCTGCATTTCTTTACCTTCTTTCAAACTTAAAGTTTAAAAATTATTAAAGCAAAAATAAATAAATGGTACAAATCTGTGTACCTGCAATAGTGGAAGTTACACTATATATAGCACAATTTGTACATTATTTCCTGTTTACTTTGACAATATAGAAAAATTCTAATGATGGAAATAATAATTTTGAAATCTGATCAAATTAAAGAACTTCACATGTTGGTCTGCTTTTTACCGTACACTTAAGTACTTTAAAGGTTGCTAGTCATATTGGCTCTTTAACATTTCCTCCGTCTGCTTTTTTATTCTTTTCTTAACAACTTTTATTTGGTCTGGTACCATAGATTGTCTCCTGTGTGGAGGCATTTATTACTTCTCGCATTTCAATGTGTGCCTGCTCTAGAATAAGTTGTTTTAGTCAATTTTTGAAGACACTTTTCCACAATCTATTGTTTGCTGTAAAGAAATCTGGAAATGACCAATAATTAGAAACCAATGCTAATAAAAAATCGGTTCTGTTTTAAAATTCTATACATGATCACAACAACGATGATTAATGGAAATGAGGTACAGCTTTAAGGCTTTAGACATAAATTATGACAAATTTTAAATTGGTAAAATACTCAACTATGATGGGGTTCAAATGTGATCTAACCCATGTATTCATCCCACCTTATATTCCTGGGTCAGGTTGTTGCTACTGTACGGCTGTGTATGGGAGGGTGATGCATGTAGACACATTTTCGGTATCTCTGTAAAAGCTGATTATGGTTTAAATGCTATAGCTAACCTGTTTAATGTTACTAATCATGACATCCCTGTATCACACTAATCTAATGACTACTTCCAGCTGGTGAGTGCATTTAGTATTGATAAGCAATATATTCTCTAAAATCATATGTCTTTGAAATGCTGGTAGGCAGATATCTCTGTATGCCCCGCTTCTGAGCCTTGAACAACAGTCCAGTTTACATGCGAAAGTGCTGGCAGACGCTGAATTTTTCATGACTAAAAACAGGTCTGGAATGGATTTAAAGGCTTCCATGGAGGGAGGGGGCACCCCGCTTTGATCAAGGGTGTTAGACTGGAAAGCAAGGACAGGATGAACAAGTACAGCTTTCTACTGGAGAGGAGATGAGGAGCTATAATACAGAGTGATATTCCTGAGTGATATTGCAAACCTGTATGTTATGGAGGGATATTTATATATATATATATATATATATATATATATATATATATATATATATATATATATATATATATATATATATACACAATTTAAAGACAGAGAAAAATAAAGGGCAGGAAAAGGACAGGAATAATTTCAAACAACAATGACATTAGTGGTGCAAAGCAATCAGAGGCAATTATCAAAGTAATTAATTTCAGAATGGCTTAAAAAGAACTTTAAAATACTTTTTACTGAGACAGTTTATGCCTTTTCCAAATCTGTTTGATACACTTTCCCTTATTTGGTCAATTTTCCTTTGAAGATTTTTTTAACTGTTAAACTTTAATTTTCTTTATCTCCCTTTTTAGTAATCAAAATAAATAAAAACTCATTAATTCATCCATTGGCCTTCTGGAGTCTTAAAGAAATAAAGCAGCACTTGAGATCGAAGGATTTTTTTTTTTTTCAATGCTCTTGCACAGCAGGTAAGATATTTTACCCTGGCGCTACTAATAAAAATGGCCCATTAGCTCCTCGAATCAAGGCTGTGAAAGCTGGTGGTACAAAAGCTCTTTCTTTTTTTTTATGGGGTCTTAACAAAGATTGGTTGCGTGAGTGTTGACCACAGCATGACTCCAGCTGCTGTCAGAGGCAATAGGTGCCATCAGGTGACGTATGGGCCGGTTTCAGAAACACAGCTACAGTGACGGTCTTTAATGGAGTGAGCTGAGAAGGACACCTGCTACACTTATTTGAAGTCTGACTCAGTGACTGCTCCAGGAGGCTATAACTTCTGCCATAAGACCCACACCTTTGATGCCAGCCATCTAAATTGGTTGTAAAAAAAGTAAAAATTTTTAAGGCTGCTG